GAGGCTCGAGCCCTTACGCCCTACCACCATAGTGATGCTACTTTATTCCATTTTATCAACAACTTCATTTCTTGAAGATATGCAATTCTTACAAAATAATGATATAATAATTGGACACGAGGAAACCTTGCTTAGTAAAGAATTATGGAACGTCTTACAATTTATAATTAAGAGGTAACTTAAATTGGCTGAGACATAACTTAACCTAGTTTTTTGAGTTGGAAATGGCTTCTCAGCTACACAGTCTGCTTTGGATAGCTTTCCATTTGAAATGTAATTGTAAATTGAATTTAAATTGAATATAATATTAACTTTTCGTTTGTAAATTACATAACCTGAAGGATTGAATTCATTATATATATACGTGATATTTTGTATTAAATACTTTTACTTACTTTACTTATTTTACTTATTTAATAAAACACTTCATTGGCGACGATATTTTTAGAGAAGATTTATTTGATTTATTAAATTTAAAGTAAAAGACTCAATGGAAGTAGTTCCTATTAAAGTTGAAGATTCAATGGAAGTAGTTCCTATTAAAGTTAAAGACTCAATGGAATTAGTTCCTATTAAATTCCATATTCCAGAATTCGTCAAAGAAAAAGTAAATATACAGGACTACTTATTTAACTTGGAGTTAATTTATAAAGTAAGAAATATTATAGATTTAAATACAAAAAAAGACCTGCTTTTAGCCTATATCGGAACAGACAATCTTATCAAAATTAAGAACTTTCACTTTCCAATAAATTTAGAGATGATAAATTATGATACTTAAATAAAAAGTTTAAATTTGGTGTTCAAGGATAGTTCGAGCATTTTCGTAAATAGGAAAATTTTTTTACGTTAAAAAGATGCAGTGAGACGATTATTGACTTTTCAATTAGGGTTAAAACTGTCTGTTCTCTTTGTAATTTTAAACCGCCCTTTGATGAACTTTTAAGAGATATATTTATCCTAGGAGTAGGCTTACCTGAGTTGGACAAAGAACTTCGGTCAAAGTATATCGAAGGCAATATTACTTTTGAAGAGACCGTGCGTTTAGCGATCGCGCTGTCTTCGTTGGAAAATGAAACCCAGACTGAAGTTAAAATAATTAAAAATAAGCCAACACAGGGTTCGAAAAATAATTATTTTAGAAATAATAATTATACAAACGTCAATAGATTCAATAATAATAAACACTTTAGTAACAATTATATTCCTAATAATAATTATAGACCTAGTATCAAACCTAACTCTATTCAAAAGAAAGTGATATGCTTTCGTTGCGGTAAGGCAAACCACATAGCGAAAGATTGTAGAACCCATGCCATACAAATGATTCTGCCACGGACACCTCGCCTGTCATTTTCAAATAAAGCAACCATCGATGCGAAGATAAATGGGTTGCAGCTAGCTATGGAGTTTGATACCGGCGCCGCGTGTAGTGTGATTGATGAGGTCACCTGAAATAGTATTGGCAGACCACAACTATCACCGGCGTATAAATTAGTGGGATATAATCATATCCAAATCGAAGTACTAGGTAAATGTACCGTAGAAGTCAAAGTAAAAAATATTTCGAAATTTTTACTTATTTGGGTAGTTAAAGGGGGGAATTCCCTTATTTTTGGGATGCCTTTCATTAGAGAATTTGATATAAAACTACCGGAAGAAGTTCGTATTAATAAAATAAATATGAAATTTCCCTCTTTAAATACGATTGCTTCAAAATTCCCTCAAGTTTTTAAAAAAAAGTTAGGTGAAATCAAACTGCCTTTTCCGTTGCGTCGAACCATTGAAGCTGAGTTGGACAGACTTTTAGACGAAGGCGTTATCGAGAAGGTAGATCCAACAATAACTCCAATCACTTGGGCTACGCCAACGGTTAATATCTTAAAGAAATCCGGTGCCGTACGGATATGCGGAGATTTTCGTTTAACAATCAACAAATATCTAGCGATCGATAACGATTTACTACCAACTTTCGTCGACCTAACAAATAAGATCGCGGGTGGTAAAATATTTTCAACAATAGATTTAAGAGATGCATTATTACAATTCGGAGTTAGTCCAGAATGTAGGGACCTTTTAGTAATTTCGACACATGTCGGTTATTACCGATACCAAAGAATTCCATTTGGTTTGACTAGCGCTCCGATAATATTCCAACGCTTTATGAAAAACCTATTAAAGGGAATTCCTATGGTTAGTGTATTTTTAGACGACATAATTATTGCAGGTGAGAATAATTCCGATCACATAGTTAATTTGGAAGAAGTATTAAGAAGATTTGAGAAGGCTGGACTGACCACGACGACCGATAAAATTAAAATCGGAGAAAAGTCAGTCACTTATTTAGGTCATGTTATTGACAGTTTCGGAATTCACCCTACAGAAGATAAGATTAGCGCTATAAAAAATTTTAAAACACCTTCCAATGTAAAAGAACTACGTTCATTTCTTGGAATAGTGAATTATCATGAGGAATTTATTAAAAATTTGCATTCTATTTGTGCTCCTTTACACCGACTAACGAGTAAAAATGTTGGTTGGTTTTGGTCAGCTAAAGAAAATGAAATATTTACTAAAGTTAAAAATATATTGTCAAAAGAAGATACAATAATTCCTTATTCAGCCGATATCCCTGTCGTGATATCTTGTGACGCTTCCGAAGATGGTCTAGGAGCTGTTATTGCACACAGATTTCTTACTGGCCAGGAGAAACCGATTGCTTACGCATCAAGGACACTTTCGGCAGCTGAAAAGAATTATGCCACAATTGATCGGGAGGCTTCGGCGATCATGTTCGCTATCGAGAAGTTTCATCAATATATTTTTGGAAGACATTTTATCTTGGTTACTGATCATAAACCATTACAATATATTTTAGGTGATAAAAGAGATCTTAACAAAATAACAAATAACCGTTTAATACGGTGGGCGACGAAACTATTAAATTATGATTATGAGATAATATATAGACCAGGTAATCATAACAAATGTGCCGATGCTCTGTCCCGTTTGGGGGTAGAGAAAGCAAAAACCAATGATGTTACAAAAAAATTCGAAGAAGAAATCAAAGGATTAAAAATTAATTTAATAGAAGATTTATCTTTCACTCGCATTAAAGTCGTAAGTGAAACGAGCAATGATATAAACCTAAAAGAGATTATTAAATTAATAAAAAATCATTGGTATATTGATAATATAAATAATTATTCGGAGATTGTAAGAAAATATATTTCGATTAAAGATAATATTTCGTTCGAAGAAGGATTATTATTTTATAATGATAGAATTATTATTCCAGATATTTTAAAAAAGGAGGTTTTATATGTGATTCATCGAGGACATCCTGTGATAGTGGGGATAAAATCATTGTGTAGATATTACGTGTTTTGGACAAATCTCGATACTGATGTTGTAGACTTTGTTAAATGTTATAAGAGTTGTCAAGAAGGAAGGCCGGGAGCTAAATAAGTGCCATTATACAATTGGAACATTCCTACCGGACCTTGGGAACGATTACACATTGAATTGACAGGCCCCGTATCTGGAAAATATTGGTTAATTTGCGTAGACGCTTTTACCAAATGGGTTGAAGTTGCAATTTTAACATATATCAATTCGGCGAGTGTAATAAATAATCTGCGTAATTATTTCGCTAGATTTGGGTTACCTCGCTACATTGTCTCAGATAACGGTACTCAGTTTACTGGATCTGAATTCAAAACGTTTCTTTTTAAAAACAATATAAAACATTTAAGATCGGCCCCTTATAGCCCCAAATCGAATGGTTTGGCTGAACGATATATACGGACGATAAAGACGCGTTTCTATGCTGGAAGGAGATGTGGGACTCCGGACCAGTTAAATTTAGCGAATGTTTTAATTACTCACCGTAATACTCCCAATGCAACTACTGGTAAATCCCCTGCCGAGATGATGTTTGGAAGGTCCCTTAGGACGACATTAGATCAGTGGAAATTATCAACGAGAGAAAAGACGGAAAACGCTCTATGGAAACAAAAGTACTACAAAGATAGAAGTGTTGAACCTCGGGAGTTTGAAGAGCAGCAAAAAGTTTGGATAGCAAACGAAAGGACAGCAGGGTGGCATGAAGGAAAAGTGTTACAACGAAAAAGCGCAATATTGTACGATGTGGAATCAGAGGGGATCGTTAAAAACAAGCATGCAGATTAATTAAGGGGTGTACATACACAAGAGAAGGAAATACCCGTTACGTTGACCGAAGAAGTGGAAAAGGCAGAACATGAGAATACAACTCTTGAAAAAAGAGTTTCGAAACCCCCACTACGTTATCACGATGAATTCAATTTATAGTGGGGAGAACTGTAATATAAATGTAATTGTAAATTGAATTTAAATTGAATATAATATTAACTTTTTGTTTGTAAATTACATAACCTGAAGGATTGAATTCATTATATATATATACGTGATATTTTGTATTAAATACTTTTACTTATTTTACTTATTTAATAAAACACTTCATGTTTCCATTTTTCTAACCCTCACAAATGTTAATAGTGACCTATTTACACAAGCAGAGACAAAAAAATAAATAATAAACTTTGAATAACTTTATTTTTACCACAATAGGTACATCTGCGCACATAAACCCTAACATCTTCTTTTTGCTAAAAATTTGGCTTATCCTAATCCAGATAAATAGAAATTTTTAAATATAAATATTGTTTTTTGGGAATCAATTTAAGTTTTTCTTGAACCCTCTCATTTTATATAAACTTTATATATATTTTTTTTATTTTATCTTGTTTTTCCATTTTATCTGTGATTTAAAATTTTTATAACACTAAGTTTCTATATTTTAATTATATTATATAATTAGAATAAAAATACAAATTAAATCTCTCATCAGTACAAATATAAATTTTTTTACTCTGCTTTTCTAAACATTAAAAGATAATTAATTTCATATTCTTACGCTATTTTCAATAAATTAATATTTTAAAAGTTAACGTTTATTAGTAGCATTTGTATCTTAATTTCACGTAATATTATTTGTTAAATAACGCCATTATATAAAAGAACATCTTACAATGGCTGATGAAAATGAATTATTAGATTATGAAGAGGAAGAACAAGTCGTAGTAAGTCAAAACAATACAACTGGACTTATAGGTCCAGGAAAAGTTCCAAGTAATGCCGCTAGTGCAATTAATGGTGATATAAAGAAAAAGGATCTGAAAGGTACCTATGTATCCATACATAGTTCGAGTTTCAAAGATTTCTTGCTTAAACCAGAGTTACTTAGGGCTATACAAGATTGTGGGTTTGAACATCCATCTGAAGGTAAACATTTATTTATTTATCAAATTTTAAATTAAATTTAGTTCAACATGAGTGTATACCTCAGGCAATTTTGGGTATGGATGTAATTTGTCAGGCTAAATCAGGTATGGGCAAAACTGCTGTTTTTGTACTTGCCACATTGCAACAAATAGAACCCATAGATAATCAAGTATTCTTTCTTATAAATGGTATATAATTTAAAAATGCATTTATAGGTATCAGTATTGGTCATGTGTCATACTAGAGAACTTGCCTTTCAGATAGGAAAAGAGTATGAACGATTTAGTAAGTACCTTCCTGGTGTTAGGGTGGCTGTCTTTTTTGGTGGTGTACCTGTTCAAACTGATGAAACAACTTTAAAAAGTGCGTCAACATCCCCTCATATAGTGGTTGGAACTCCTGGTAGAATTTTGGCATTGTGCAAATCAAGAGCGTTAAACCTTAAGCATACTAAGCATTTTGTATTGGATGAATGTGATAAAATGCTTGAGGAGTTAGGTAAATTATTAAATTAATAATTTTTATTATAGTTAATAATTAGACATGCGAAAAGATGTCCAAGATATTTTCCGCCAAACACCACATTCTAAACAAGTGATGATGTTTAGTGCTACCCTAAGCAAGGACATACGACCAATCTGCAAAAAATTTATGCAAGATGTAAAATGCTATTTAATACATGATACTAAATGAACATAAAAATTGGGAGACTGAAAATTATCTGATATATTGATTAGTCTGACTCAGAATTGATATGCCTACGTTGGTTGATAAGAATATGATTAGCAATACGTTATTTTCCTTCTTACGATGAAACTTCTTACAATCCAAAGAAATAATAATAATAATTTTACGTAATCTTATCTCATTTTCTATGTCCAGAAATGATTGCAAAAAATTCCATACCAATGTTGACAATCATAAACATTTTTAAATTTTATATATCTTTATAACTAAAAAACAACTATTTTGGAAATTTTGTGATAATAATTGATCCATCTAATGACCTACTTTTGAGACAAATTTATTAAGACTGCTACAATAATAAAAAGCTACATAATTATTCAGATATAATGTAAGCTTAACATATTAATATTGTTTTTTTCCAGCCTTTAGAAATATATGTTGATGATGACTCCAAGCTGACACTTCATGGATTAAGGCAACATTATGTTAAATTAAAGGATAATGAAAAAAATCGAAAGCTTTTCGAACTTTTAGATCTTTTGGAGTTTAACCAAGTTTTAAAAAATAAATTTTAGAACTGATTTTAAAATATAATTAGGTTGTTATATTTGTCAAATCCATTCAACGATGCATGGCACTAGCAGATCTTCTAGGTGAACAAAATTTTCCTGCAATTGCAATTCATAGAGCTATGACCCAGCAAGAAAGGTTGGTTTCACATTTTTATTTTATCTTATATATTTTATGATATAGATTATCTCGATACAAACAATTTAAAGATTTTCAGAAAAGGATACTAGTAGCCACAGATTTATTTGGCAGAGGGATGGATATAGAAAGAGTCAACATTGTTTTTAATTATGATATGCCAGATAGTTCTGATATGTACCTTCATAGGGTAATTTAGTTAACTTAAATATACATCAAACTAATTAAACATAGGTTGCTAGGGCTGGAAGATTTGGTACTAAAGGCTTATCTATTACATTTGTATCTGATCCTAATGATGCAAAAATCCTTAATCAAGTTCAAGAAAGATTTGATGTTAATATTACTGAACTCCCTGATGAAATAGACATTTCTACATATAGTAAAATTAAACTATTAAACAAATAATATGTTTTATTTTAGTTGAAGGAAGATAGTATAGAATAATTGAATAAACAAAATGTTATTTTTATAAATCTGTAAATATTATTTAGTTATTATCTTTCATATATGTTCTATAAAGTTTATATTATATGATATATTTTTAATATTTATACAATATCAGATAATAAAATATTAAATATTTATTTAGACAACAATATGCTTTTAACTTGCCATACAAATATTTAATTAAATTTGAGAAAATGAAAGCTAAAGTATTATGTAGGGCAAAGCCATATTCTGAGCCTTGTTTCTTTTTAGAACATTTCTTCCAAAAATTGCAAATTTATTTAGCTGCACTGCTGAACTATTTAATTGTATTTTTAATAATTAAAAGGTTTTCATTTATTAAATTACTAGCAAAAACCCGTCAAGAATGACGGGGTTGATGGTTAATTAATTAGTTTGTGTATATAGTACTAAATATGCTTTATATTAAAATTTAGGAGAAAAAGAGTAAAATTGTTGCAATGTAACCTGTGAGCATTAAGGGTATTAGAAATATCAAAATTTAAATTTGTGATAGAAATCATATTGAATAATATTTAAAATAGAGATGCTTGGAAATTTTTTAATTTTAAATATGGTGTAGACATTAGCCTGAAATTTTTTTGCAGACATAGCCAGGCCTGATCAAAAAACCAAGTCCCATGCAACTTTTATAAAATTTTGCCATTTATTTCTATTGTAATTTAATAACAATATCTTAAATTTAATTTTATATTTAGAATAAAATTTAAATCTGTGATAGAAATCAGGGTAAAATTTAAAATAGATATGGTTGAAAATTTTTAAATATGGACCAATCATTGGCCTGGAATTTTTTTTCTCAAACCTGGCCAACTTATAATAATTTTGTAATTTTTTCCCAAGCCTGGAGATAGGTAAATCTCTGAAAACCATATTGTTGGGAAAATTTTCTCAAGCCAGCTAAAGACCATTATAATTTTGTTAGCTGAGAACTGAAATAAAAGTCATTCATTTTAAAATAAAATCAGAATATGAAAGTTGCATGGGCTTGGTTTTTTAATCAATCCTGGCGATTTCTGCAAAAAAAAAATTTTCAGGCCAATGTATAACCCATATTTAAAATTCAAAAATCTTAAAGCATCTCTATTTTAAATTTTATTCACCATCACAAATTTAAATTATGATATTTCTAATACATGCTCACGGTATACAAAGCAACAATTTTACCTCTTTTTCTCCTAAATTTTAATATTTATATAAAATTATGGGTATGACTAAAATACGCGCCCCATATGAAAGAAGCTTAATTTAAATTATATTATTTTAGAATCGTATTTACCTTCATAAGATAAGGCAGAAAATGTTTTTTTTATTTAAATAAAAATGATAACAGTGAAATTTTAAAAAAATTATTTTTTTTAATGACTAAAATACACGCCCCCTATTAAAGAAGCTTAATTTATAAAAAATGAACGTAGAATCATATAGAGCTAATTAAAAGGTATAAAAAGAATATTTATATTATATTTTGAAACTTTTTATACCTAGTGGGCTTTTGAAAAAACAATTTTTTTTGACTAAACTACGCGCCCCCGTTAAATATACATTATTTTTAAAAAATGAATACAGAATCATGTATAACTTCTCAAGGAGATTCAGAAAATGGTATTATTTATATTATCAAAAAAAAAATTTTTTGACTAAACTACGCGTCCCCTATCAAAGAAGCTTATTTCATAAAAAATTAAAGCATAATCGTATTAAGCTCATTAAAAGGAATCAAAAATGTTAATATTAAGTTTATAAATTATTTATAACTTATTGAGAGTTGGGAAAAACACTTTATTTCTTCTTTTTTGACTAAACCAAGCGCCCCCGTTAAATATATATTATTTTTTAGCAATGAATGCAGAATTGCCATTTTGCCAATTAAAAATATAATTAGAAATATCGAAAATTTTTGGTAAAATATAACGCTACTTATGCAGAATTTAGCTTAGATTATCGAGAGGATCTAGTCAATGAAATTGATTTTTCCTAATCAAGCTATGAATCGATACGAGCCCTCGTTATTTAAAGATGGGTTTTTTGTAAAATTTTAACAAATTTTTTTCAACTTTATCAAAAGAAAATTCATTAAAAAATTATGAGAATATTAAATAAATAGACCTCCTAATTAACCTTACGGACTGATTTTATAATATTAACTTAATAGTTTCGTTTAAAATGATTTTATACTAACCGATTAATTAAATGATTTTTGTAAAGTATATTTAGATGTTTTTAAATAAATAAAATTAAAACTTTCTTAGTTTTGTTTTTATCCCTGCCTATCTTAACATCTTAATACAATTTTCTGGTTCCATATAAGGGGTGAGATATATGATAGCTAGGATGAGAGCGCGTTATCCCAGTAATGAAATATATTTTATAAATGGAAGTAATTTACAAAAAAATACATATCTTTTTAGGAGAAAATTGCAATAATGTTAACTATTTATTCTTAAATTTCTAATAAACATTTTAATAAAAATTAATTATTTTTAACAAAGATACACTAAAATAAGCACGTTTTAAATAGGTTCCTGCTGCTTTATTCCGAGGTCTAAGATACGGGGGATAGTGAAATTATTCATAATAAATAAGTTTAAAAAAGTTTTAAAAAATAATTTATAAGTTTTGGAAAAAATTTTAAAGAAAAAGAATTGTTTTAAAATACAAATGTGTTATTTTAATAATTTCTGCAAGCATTATACTTATACATGGATGGTTTTTAATTTATTCCTCAATATGTTTCATTAAATCATCACAAAACTGTAAGTTGGTGATCCCCTCTTTTAAAAACTTATAACAAATAACGAGGGCTCGTATCAATTTATAGCTTATTGGAAATAGTTAATGAAATTGCAAATTCCGAATAGATAGTGTTATATTTAACAAAAAAATTCCATATTTCTAATTATTTTTTTTAAATAAATAAATAATACCATTTTATAAATCTCCTTAAAAAGTTATACATGAATCTGTATTCATTTTTAAAAAATAATGTATATTTAACGGGGGCGCGTAATTTAGTCAAAAAAAGGAGAAATTAAGTGTTTTTTCCAAATCTCAATAAGTTATAAATAATTTATAAACTTAATATTAACATTTTTTGATTTCTTTTAATGAGCTTAATACGATTATGCTTTAATTTTTTATGAATTAAGCTTCTTTGATAGGGGGCGCGTAGTTAAGTCAATAAAATTATTTTTGATAATTTAAATTTAAAAAAAAATAAAAAAAAAATACCATTTTCTGAATCTCCTTTAAAAGTTATACATGATTTTGTATTCATTTTTTAAAAATAATGTATATTTAACGGGGGCGCGTAGTTTAGTCAAAAAAATGAGAAATTAAGTGTTTTTTCCAAATCTCAATAAGTTATAAATGATTTATAAACTTAATATTAACATTTTTTTATTTCTTTTAATGAGCTTAATACGAGTATGCTTTAAAATTTTATGAAATAAGCTTTTTCGATAGGGGGCGCGTTATTTAGTCAAAAAAAAATTTTTTGATAATAAAAATATTTTTTTAAAAAAAATAAATAATACCATTTTCTGAATCTCCTTGAAAAGTTATACATGATTCTGTATTCATTTTTTAAAAATAATGTATATTTAACGGGGGCGCGTAGTTTAGTCAAAAAAATGAGAAATTAAGTGTTTTTTCCAAATCTCAATAAGTTATAAATGATTTATAAACTTAATATTAACATTTTTTTATTTCTTTTAATGAGCTTAATACGAGTATGCTTTAAAATTTTATGAAATAAGCTTTTTTGATAGGGGGCGCGTTATTTAGTCAAAAAAAAATTTTTTGATAATAAAAATATTTTTTTAAAAAAAATAAATAATACCATTTTCTGTATCTCCTTGAAAAGTTATACATGATTCTGTATTCATTTTTAAAAATAATGTATATTTAACGGGAGCGCGTAGTTTAGTCAAAAAAAGGAGAAATTAAGTGTTTTTTCCAAATCTCAATTTATAAACTTAATATTAACATTTTTTGATTCCTTTTAATGAGCTTAATACGATTATGCTTTAATTATTTATGAATTAAGCTTGTTTGATAAGGGGCGCGTAGTTTAGTCAAAAAATTTTTTTTGTTTTTTCAAAAGCCCACTAGGTTATAAAAAGTTTTAAAATATAATATTAACCATTTTTAATACCTTTTAATAAGCTCTATAGGATTCTACGTTCATTTTTTATAAATTAAGCTTCTTTGATAGGGGGCGCGTATTTTAGTCATTTAAAAAAATAATTTTTTAAAAATTTTACTATGTTACCATTTTTAAAAAAAATAAAATAAAACATTTTCTGCCTTATCTTATGAAGCTAAATACGATTCTAAAATAAAATAATTTAAATTAAGCTTCTTTAATAGGGGGCGCGTGGTTTTCGGGGGCGCGTATTTTAGTCATGCCCTAAAATTATTAATAAAGTATATTTAGTACCATAAACACAAACTAAATAATTACCCTTCAACCCCGTCAGCTAGTATGGTAATAAACGGCAAAATTTAAAAAATATCAGTTATTAATTAATTTATATATAATTAATATTTTAAATTTAATTATATTCAAGTTGGTGGATGCTTAAAACATACGCCTTTGAAACGGGAGGTTTGTGGTTCAACTCTCGTAGAGAGCAAAAAAAATAACATTACACTATATAGTCTCCTTAAATTTTAAATACATTAGGAAGATACGAAAACGATCATGTTTTGATTAAGGAGATTATATATATTAGATTATTATTGCTTAAAATTAATTTAATTACACCTTGATGGTAAGGTGGAAAAGAATAATGTGAAGAATAACTTATCTTATCTTTTTATATTGAACCTTGATATTAGTTTTAAATTAATTTAATAGTAAATATATATTAGAGACCTTCATTGTGTACTTGGACTGGGCTATATTTTAATTTTTTAAATATACCAAGCCATAAAAATTTTTTTATACCTGGGTTAGGCTTAAATATACTTTTTTTAAAAAAGTACCAAGGTCAGGCTGAATATTTTAAATTGTCATTTATAAAAAATGAATAAAATATACTTAAACAAATTTGGGCTGGGTCATGCAAATGGTATCACTGCAGTCTGACAA